TTGCTGCTGCATTGGAGCCTCTAAAAATCAGCGCTTTGGTGAAATTGCAGGAAATTCCGCAGAAGTATTGGATAATTTTTCCGCAAAAACTTCCAAACACACTGCTTGAAACTTCGGGAATTTTGGTAGCAGTTTTTCTTGATGTCTAATCATTCACGAACATTTTTCCAAGCAACAATTAGGTCGTAAAATCGAGCGTATTTTTTCGAATTGTGTTGAGTAGTGAAACTTTGTGTTTGCTGCTGCATCGGAGCATCTAAAAATCAGGGCTTGTTTGTAATTGCTGAAAATTCCGCAGAAGTATTGGATAATTTTTCCGCAAAAACTCCCAAACACCATTGTGTTTTCGACATTAAGGTCAATATTTTTTTGGAGTCAAAGCTGCGGTTTTTACCACATTAGAGCTATTGAAAAAATTAACGCTTGCTTGAAACTTCGGGAATTTTGGCAGAAATTTTTCTTGATATCTAATCAATCACGCACATTTTTCCAATCAACTATTAAGTCGGGAAATCAAGCATATTTTTTCGAATTGTCTTGAGTAGTGAAAACTTGTGTTTGCTGCTGCATTGGAGCCTCTAAAAATCAGCGCTTTGGTGAAATTGCTGGAAATTTCGCACTCGTATAGTCAAGCAGCCACAATTAGGCTCATAAAAATTTTAGATGAAAAAACATCCTGCAATTATTTCCAGTGGCTTCAAGTGGCGTTTTAGGCCAAGTTGATGCTTTAAAAAAAATTATGGTGGCAGCAAATAGCAGGAAATTACGCAAAAAACAGCCTGATGTCTGATACAAATACTGTAAAAATTTCAGGTCAACACAGTGTTCGGTAAAAGCAATACATTTTTCCAATTTTTGCGTTTTTTGCCACATTGAAGCTCTTTAAAAAATTGGCGCTTGCTTCGAAAAACTTTGTCGAAAAAACGAGCAGAATTTGTCGAAGTCCCTTCACTAGTAAAAACTTGTGTTTCCTGCCACAATTTGACCCATAGAAATTTTAGATGAAAAAAGTTTGCAATTATTTCTGGTGGTTTGAAGTGACCTTTTAGGCCAAATCGAATCTTTGATAAAAATTAAAGTGACTAGAACTGGCAAGAAATTACGCAAAAATACGGATTGATGTCTGCAAAAATTCCTGTTCAATTATGTAAAACATGCAATTTTTTTTCCAACGTCTGCACTTTGTTTAGTGTCGAAAAAATCAGCCCTTGCTGAATTGTCTTCAAAATGTTCTGGTTTTATTCCATTCTTGAGCATTCTTGAGCACTGAGCGCTCTTTTCTTTCACATTTTACACAACAACTGATGTTTCCCGGAATCTAAAGTCGCTGAGGTAAAATTTAAAGTGGGGTTTTATCAAGTGAAATTAAAATATTCTAGCAATTGCGGATAAACCCGCAGTTTAAAAATTTCCTTATCCGCCCGCTCCATTTACTTTGCTTGCAATAATTGATTCAAAAGCCACATGGTTTCATTTGAAATTAAAAAAATTTATTGCTATGCGCTTGAATGAAAAATTCCAGCAGAACTGCACTTGGCAAGTTCATGTCTTTCGGAGGACATCGACTTCGCAACTGGTTCAAGAACAGATTCCACTTTCTGAGTCAAGTTGAAACGGTTGCTCAACTCGTTTTCTTAATGAACTTGTCCCACCATACGGCTAATGTAACCCGATCAATTAGGCATATTTATAACTTCATTAAATTGCGATTCTAAGCCTTTGAAAATTCCACTTTCAGACTGGAAAATTTTCTAATTCTAAACTATTAACGTTTGGGTTTTTCTAGTGCATTTGCCTGACGCTCTACAGTCCGATTGTTCGAAATGCAGCGAAGCTCAAAGGAATGGCAGCAGAAAGATCATCACTCATCTACTGAAGAACAAACGTGGATGGTTCAATGAGTTGCAGGCCAAATACGACCCAGCTGGCAACTACTTGAGCAAGTACTCAGATGAACTCAGAAAAGAAGGAATTGTCATTTAAAATGCCCAACTGAGGGTTTTATTGATATACGAGGTTTTCAACTTTGTGTGGTGTTTTTTTGAGTCATTATTACCAATTTGATTTGCATAGAGTAATTAATGGATAATTTAGCACAGTTTTACAAGCTGAGATGTACAAAAATTGCATTTTTATGCAGAGCTGCAATTATGCAAATGGCACACTTTCGCCCAATTATCATTGCATTGAAATTGCAGACATTTTAATGGGTTTAATTCCTATAAATTAAACGAGCCCTGCTCAAAACCCCGCACTCTGCCTGCAAGTTCATCAGCACAAAATGCGCTTTTTTGAAAAAACGCTATTTTTGAGTATCGCAATCGCTTCCTGTGAGCCTCACGCTGAAGATCGATATACCACCAAGTACGACAATGTAGATGTAGACGAAATTCTGCACAGTGATCGTCTGATGAAGTTCTACATGAATTGCATGTTGGATAAAGGCGCTTGTACTCCTGTGGGGCAGGAAGTTAAAGGTAGGTTTTTTCGCATCTGCAACATTTTTTTTAACTGAAAAGGGCTTTGATGGCATGAATCATTAGAGAAGGTTTTTTTGGTATGAGGCCTCGAAAATTTTCCAAGAAAGTTGACTTTAATATGTAATAAAAGGAGTTTGGTGCAGTTTAAATTAAGAATTGGATTTTAGACAAGAAGAGAAACAAGACAAGAACATTTAAAGATGTTATTCGTGACAAATAGAGTTACAAAGTTCGTTTTTTTCCTCTCATTGGATTGGGAATTAAAAGCCCTTCAGCTAGGAAGTGGAAGTTTTCAGACAAACGGCGAAATTTGCATCACACACACTTAGATTATTCAAGATTAGGCCAATATTTCATGTTTTTCGACACTTTTTTGCTGATTTCTCAGAGATAAATTGAGGTGGGGCGTTAATTTCTGCACCACTGGATAGAGGAATAAAAACGCCATTTAAAAACACTTGGAAACCGTTGGCGGTTTTCATGCAAAAAGCTAAATATTAAAGGAAACTTTTAATTTTGCGCGGTTGATTTCGGAATTGCCTCAAACATTAGTTCACTTTTGGATAGTGAATTAGACAATCAATCCAGTAAATGAAACTTCTGTTGGGAAATTGCGGCAGTTTTCTCCCAAAAAGCGAAATTTCAGTATCAGACATTTAAGTAAGTTTGAGTTGAAGCCAAATTATTATGTTTTTCGCTACCTTGTTGCTCATATCTCAGAAACAGATTGAGCTGGAGCTTTGGTGTTTACGGCACTTGGAGGAGAACTAAAAGGTATATTTAGAGAGTAAAACACCGCTTGAAAAGTGTGGGCAATTTTCACACAAAATGCCAAGATTTCAAAAAAACTACTAGTTTTGCGAGGTTGTCCCTCAAAAATCGGTAAAATCTCGGCCAAAAGCGTAATTGAACTAGATTTTAGGGCACCATTGACCAAAATGACGCTCTTTAAAACACCGCTGGATGCGCGTTTCTATCTCGATACGGTTTTTCAAAACAAGCTTTTGAAACTCATCCTGCAACCGATGGTCGCTCATAAAGCGCACTCGGATGATTAAAAATTCGTAAAATCTCAGTCAAAAGCGCGATTGAATTTAATTTTACGGCACCAATGAAGCAAAGGACACTCTTTAAAATACCGCTTAATGCGCGTTTCTATCTCGAGCATTTTTTAAAAAACGCGCTTTTGAAGCGCACTCTGCAACAAAATGCCGCTCATAAAGCGCACGCGGATGCTTAAAAATTCGTAAAATCTCAGTCAAAAGCGCGATTGAATTGGATTTTAGGGCACCAATGAAGCAAAGGACGCTATTAAAATGCGTGTTTCTATCTCGAGAATTTTTTTGAAAAACGCGATTTTCGAACGCACTCTGCAACAAAATGCCGCCCATAAAGCGCACGCGGATGATTAAAAATTCGTAAAATCTCAGTTAAAAGCGCGATTGAACTGGATTTTAGGGCACCAATGAAGCAAAGGACACTCTTTAAAATACTGTTTAATGCGCGTTTCTATTTCGAGAATTTTTTTGAAAAACGCGCTATTGAATCGCACTCTGCAACAAAATGCCGCCCATAAAGAGCACGCGGATGATTAAAAATTCGTAAAATCTCAGTTAAAAGCGCGATTGAACTGGATTTTAGGGCACCAAGGAAGCAAACGACACTCTTTAAAATACTGCTTAATGCGCGTTTCTATCTCGAGAATTTTTTTGAAAAACGCGCTTTTGAAACGCACACTGCAAGAAAATGCCGCTCATAAAGCGCACGCTGATGATTAAAAACTCGTGAAATCTCAGTCAAAAGCGCGATTGAATTGAATTTTATGGCACCAATGAAGCAAAGGACACTGTTTAAAATACCGCTTAAAGCGCGTTTATATTCCGAGAATTTTTTTGATAAACTGGCTTTTGAAACGCACTCTGCAACAAAATGCCGCTCATAAAGCGCAC